TATATATACACTAAAAAAATAGAAAACAAAAGGTAAAAAAAATCAAATTGTTGAAAAGTTAAAAAAAATGAAAATAAGTAAAGTTTATATAAAAACAGAAAATAAAAAATGTATATATATTTATAAAAAAACCAGAAAATAAATAAAATATACAAAAAATGAAAAATAAAGTTAGAAAATCATATGGTGTAATTTTTTGCAAACAGCAGGGACCAAATTTGAACATTTTAGGACTGATTTTGCAAAAAAGTTAACCGTGAAACTTGTTAAGTGGGCTAGAGTGATAATTCTGCGAGAAAGTTGTGGCCAGAACAATAATAAAAAAAATATCAGGGTTTTTTCCAATTAAGCGTTAAAAATTTAGGGCTTTTATAATATTAGTCCAAAAATCTTCTATAATTTTTTGGGTTTGAACGAGGGCACTTTGGTAACTTCGAGAGCTTATTGAAACCCACAACAAGAACGCCACGAACGGCGAACAGACGAGCGGAAAAGATATTCCGGAGAAGAGGGAAAACGATTAAGTAAAAGAAGCAGAGGTTATCGAACGCAGCTCACAACTTGGAATCCTCATCCCCAAAAAGGAAACCCCAAATCTCTATCAACATTCCGGTGTAAGTCCCAAATTCTCCCATTTTCTCTCGATCCAACAAAATCTAGGGTTTCAAATTCATATATTCCAGTGTCTTGAACTCTCACAAGTTGCAATTGCACTGATCCGTGTGTGATTTTTATTGTTTATTTTATTCTTTGTATACCCATGTACGTAATTAGCAAATTGAATGATAATGATTGGGGATTTTGACTTAAATTAGTGTTTCAGGAAGGGCTCTGTTTGATAGAATCGTGGGAAGTACAGAAGACAGTGATTACGGTTTGTTAGATTGAGATAATAATGGCGGGGGGTGGTAATAATATGAACAATTCAATGAAAAACGTTGGGGGCGTGAGTGTTCCAACTGGGTTTGGTAATTCAAGCGCATCAGCTCCTCAATCTATGGCACCACCTATGAACCATTCGCACCACCCACAACCTCAAAGTCATGATGGTGGTGAAGCCCATTTTTCCGGTCACTTTCAGCTGTCTGAGCCGCAGGCTCAGGCGCTAGCTCAAGCACAATACGTTCAAGCTCAAGCTCAGGCTCAAGCTCGAGCTGCCCATGCCCGATTTCAAGCTCAGTTACAAGCTCAAGCTCAAGCCCAATCGCTTTCCCAGAAGCCAAATCCAATGGTAGGGATTAATAGCAACAGTAACATCGGTGTCTCATCTCCATCACTCATAACACCCATGAATGCAAAAAGATCGGGTCAAAAACCATCTTCTAGACCTCCAAGTTCCTCTGGTGCTGCTAGTGGTTCACCTTTAAAAACCATGGAACTCACCCCTGCAGCCCGGAGAAGAAAAAGTGGTCCACCGGAAAAGCAGATTCCGGACAAAGTAGCCGCCCTTTTACCGGAATCCGCTCTTTACACTCAATTGTTGGAATTCGAGGGTCGTGTGGATTCCGCCCTTGCAAGAAAAAAAGTTGACATTCAAGAATCCATCAAGAACCCTCCTCGCATCCAAAAAATGCTCAGGATTTACATCTTCAACACATTCACAAACCAAACAAATTCAGGAATCCATAAAGAAAACACCGAGCCTCCATCATGGTCTCTCAAGATTCTTGGGAGATTACTAGAAAACGGAACAGAAACCTCAAATAATCCAAAGTTTTCATCTTTTTTCAAGAAAATCACTATTTACTTAGACCAAAATCTCTACCCGGATAACCATGTAATCTTGTGGGAAAGTTCTAGATCTTTGGCACTTAATGAGGGTTTTGAGGTGAAAAGAAAAGGAGATAAAGAGTTCACTGCTATAATTCGATTAGAAATGAATTACACCCCTGAAAAATTCAAACTTTCACCTGCTTTAAGCGAAGTGCTTGGACTCGAGGTGGAGACCCGCCCTCGAATTATAGCCGCCATCTGGCAATATGTGAAAATGAAAAAACTTCAAATCCCAACTGATACTTCCTTCTTTACATGTGATCCACCTCTTAGAAAACTATTTGGAGAAGATAAAGTGAAATTTGCATTGGTTTCTCAAAAGATTTCACAGCATTTATCCCCACCACAGCCTATACATTTGGAGCATAAAATCAAGCTTTCTGGGGAGAATCCGGTTGGGAATACGTGTTATGATGTTCTTGTGGATGTCCCGTTTTCATTGGATAAAGATATGTCAAATTTCTTGGAGAATTTGGAGAAACATAGGGAGATTGATGCTTGTGATGAAGCGATTTGTTCTGCAATCAAGAAAATTCATGAACATAGGCGAAGAAGGGCTTTCTTTTTAGGGTTTAGTCAATCACCAAGTGAGTTCATTAATGCATTTATTGCATCACAGAGTAAGGATTTGAAAACTGCTGCTGGTGATGCCACTCGTATTGCTGAGAAAGAGCATCGTTCTGAATTTTATAATCAACCATGGTGAGTTCTTTGTTTTCTTTTTATTATTTCTTATAGAAACTTCTTTTTTGCGTCAAGTCAAAAAGAAATACCGATATATAGCTTACCAGATTAAGTAAAAAAGAAACAACACCTTACACTGGTTTGAATATACTTATACCCTAGTTGAAATAAATGGAAATCATCTATTGTAAATTCATATACAATAATAATTGTACTTTTTTTTTTTTTGACTTATTTTGTGTATGTATGGTTGATAGGGTGGAAGATGCTGTAATTCGTTACTTGAACAGAAAACCTACTGCAGGAAGTGATGCACCCTGAAGCACATATTGCAAATTATTTCCATGGGTATGCATACCTTATTTTATTCATGTACCAAGATATATTCAGATAATTAACTAATGTTATCACATTTGTTTGATCTTTTTTCGAGCAGTGGGGTTGAGGGCAATCTTGGGTTTATGGTAATATGCTATCAATGAAAAGCAGGCGTTTTTATGAGTTCCCATCTGTTGGTTTCTTTCAACATGCCCCCCTTTGATGATATGATGCAAGAAAATGACATAAATAGCCTTCAATTACAGAACCCAGAAAATGCCCCATTGAAGAGTTTGTTGATCAATTGATGTGCTCCCTTTTAGTCAATAATTCATGTTGGTAGTTTTGATTAGGATTGATGATGTTTTGTTTATGTTTTTGATAATTTGCTATAATAGTGTGTAACTTCCCTTGTCTTTAGCAACAGATAGTTGTTTTAGTTGGGATTAGCAGTATAGCATGTTGTAGTATGAAAATTTAGTTCGATTGTATGATCCATATTGGGTTTTAAACACCAAGTTTTATTTAAGATGGAACTACTTATACTTGTTTGTGTTACATGGGACTGGACTAGACTGGCCTCATTAAAGAAGCTTCATTGTGGTTTATTTAGTAGGAGATTGTTAAAGTCGTTTGTGGGTGATGTTTTATGTCTACATTTAATAACTTTATGATTCTCGTATTATGTAATTTCTAAAACTTCCTTTAGATTTTTTAAATAATTAAAAAAAAAATTGTGATATGCGCAAGCCTCACGAAACTGGCCTTTATTCAATTAAAATTGTACCCGTGTTCCTATATATATATATATATATATATATATATATATATATAAACCTCAGGAAAGAAGAAACGTGCAATTATGATTGATATCCAAGGAAAGTGGTCAGAGGAGGATCTTTTTGTAAGGAAAATGTTTTATGGGTATGCAGTGCAATCAACATTATTCCTCCAACAAATGACAAATCTCAATGCGTGGTTCAACTAATGTTTTTCTTTTTTACATTTTGGGTCCATAAACAGAAACTACAATCCGGATCCTATAAATGTCATGCATGTCAGCTATAAAGTTACCCAAAGTAAACTTTCTGCAAAGTTCAATGGTTTTCCAGATTATTTTCAAATCTCAGTTATCAGATATAAGAAACTAAAACAAAGGTTGTCATTCCTTACAAGTGACTACTTTTTAAAACTAAGATTTTGTCAAAAGCAATGTATTTAGATGGAACAAAACAGGTGTTAAAATTAAAAGGATATAAATCATTCAGTTATGTTTTTTTGCTATCGGTTTCATGAATTAGTTTGACAGCACATAAAAGCTTTATTGGAATACAGGATTACAATAGTTAAGTAAATAAGATATGATGACAAAACAAGAAGTCAGTACCCGTTAGACACAAATAACCTGAAAGTAGGAAAGTGTTGGGACGATTTTGTTTCATTTTATGAAAAAGCACGTAGGGATAAAAAAAACTATGGAAGCCTTTCTCTGTTATCAGAGCCAGGTTTCGATCCTGGGACCTGTGGGTTATGGGCCCACCACGCTTCCGCTGCGCCACTCTGATTTGGTGATATAGACTGCATACACTATTTATATATATTATTCAATTTACTAGCATTTCCTTATATACATGATACAACGAACCTGATTCTTTATATATAGAACTCTGATTTGATGACTTAGGATACGCAATACAATTGGGACACCGACTACCATATGGGTCTCAGCTAGCATGTTTGGCCCAATTGTAGTGAGTGAATTCTTTGATTCATTTTCCCTTTGCTTTATTGGTTTGATAATGATAATGAGGTCATGGTAAACGGCTCTACACTCTACAGTTATGCTGTGAGCTCAATTGGCTACTAGTTGAAGATTTGATTTAGAGTATTGTAACCACTAACCAACACTCGCATCAATTTTAATTGGTTAATTGTTTATAAGCTTTTTTTTTTTTTTTTTGAGCGGCAAGAAAAAATGGTGGTCAAAAGTACAAGAATTCTATGAAAATATATATATATATATATATATATCAACTCTTAACAGAAAAGCATAAACAAAGTAAAAAAACCAGCAGTGGCTTCAACATCTTTTTTACACTTAGAATCATAGAATGCAAGTTACATAGAAGAAGTATTACCAGAAGCTAAAGACCTAAGAAAACTATATACAAAGCAAATACACATGAATCAATCTTTTGCAAAGTCACTCAAAAACTACTTCTACTTTACAAGGAAGCAGGACCTAAAATCAAAACTCAAGATCCAGACTGAGAGAAAATTAACACAGGCAGGCAAAACTTCCATCACCAATCAAATCATATTTTGTCATCAATCATCAACCACTTCACAGAGCAGACACTCCAACCTCTAAAACATGGGGACAGGTGGCAGGCATCACACTCTAGTCTATTTGGCAGAGTACCAGTTCTTGGCAAATTTAGCATCAACGGATAGCCCAACTTTGAGAATGTTCTTCCCATCAAAAGGCTTTGACATGCAATCCACCACTATCTTTTTTGCAATCTCTGCTGACTCTGTTGGCCCTTCCAATATCACTTCATCATGAACCTGTGTGTGTTCCAAATCTCATTTATTTAGCATCCTACTTTCTTTCTGCTTTTATTAGATTTTTCTTAAAAAAATAAAACACAAACCTGTAGAAGCAGCTTCCACCCAAGCTCTCTCAAACGAGCATTCTTAGATATTTCCAACATGGCACACATAGCAACATCAGCAGCACTTCCCTGTTGATAATATTTTATTTTAAATCAGAGCCTTGTGTGTGTTTGGACAAGTGCATTATAGGTGGTTAGAAAATGAACCTGGACAGGGGTATTAATGGCAGCACGTTCAATGTGACCTCTGTGAGATGGAGGGGCATTTTTGGTAGACGGAAAAGTGCGTGCACGTCCTAACAACGTATATACACATCCAATTCTCCGGGCTTCCTTTTTACGTGCTTCTTGCCACCTCAGCACTTCTTCTCTACCTCCATACCACCGAGCAACCGTTTCTCTTGCTTCATTAACTGAAACCTTCCAATCACGTGACAGCCCAACAGCAGTTTTCCCATATGCAATGGAAAAATTAAGCATCTTTGCTTTTCTCCTTTCAGAAGCAAACATATCCTAATCATAAACAAAAAAAAAAAAAAAAAAAAAAAAAACACTATTAATAGCACTCCCTAATAATGAGAGAATATAATTTTTGGCTTACCTTTAGAAGAGGAACAGGTGGAGTTTCTTGACCAGGTTGAGGATGCCATTCTAGAAGAACTTGTTTGCTTTCAATTGCTTCACGGATGTAAGGATACATATTCATCGCAGTTCTTGAATGAAAATCTCCACCAGCTTCAAACGCATCCAACATGCTCTTACAGTTTGCAAGATGTGCAAGAATCCGAAGCTCCAACTATAAACCATAAATACATCATTTAACTTTTATACAACCAGATGAACTTTATAAAATAAAAAATCAACTAGTTTACCTGTCCATAATCAGCAACGATAAGAGAGTTCCCAGGTGCTGCTATAAACGCCTGACGAATCTTGTACCTATCCTTCTCTAAAGCGGGCTGATTCTGAAATCAAACATAAGATACATACACGACACATGTCAACATCATATTTTTATTTATCTTATTATTAAAATAAATATAAAATGAAAATAACCTGCAGATTTGGTCTCCTAGCAGATAGACGTCCTGTCTCCGTGTTGATATTCAACGAACAATGAATACGCCCGTTTCTACCAGATATATGGCTGCCCTGTGAACATAACAACAAAACCAATACATTTTATTAATTTTCTAAATTTGACATTATAAATTATAAGTTGGAACTAATTAAAAACTAACCTGTAAAGGAAGAATGAAGTTGGAAATCAACGAGTCAATAGAGCAAACTTCACATAACGCAGCAATTGCATGACAAGCCTCCTGTCCTTCAGACCCCCCACCAAACGCCTCATAAGCCGTGCCATAAGAATTTTCAGAAACTTTAGAGAAATTTCCGGGTTTTTTATCGGACAACTCAATAAAATCATCGGTTGTGTTTTCATCCAGCTCTGCATTGTCATCATCTATAAAATCATAATCCATGGAAATTTTTCCAGCAAGGGTTTTCAAAGCATCCCCACAAACAGAAGGCCATCCGGATGCAGTGTATGTTTCTGTTTGTAGACCAGAACAAATCGCATGTAGTTTGATTTTACGGAATTTAGTCGCGGTTTTTTTGCCTTCTTCAATTATGTTGTCAACATTTGGAACTTTAAACTCTTTCTCCATTGGAAGAGATTGACTTTGATCTTTGCTGCATAACAAAATAAATTATGCTAACAATGAAAATCAAAGGCTAAAAAACTTTCAACATTGAACAAAAAGCTAAACGTTCATAATAAATTTTCTACCTGTTCTCAATGCCACCAAAAAAGAGCTGGCGTAACTGTGTATCACTCCCAACATTCATAAACTTAGCATCTGCACAAAGCTTCGATGCCCAGTTTCTAAATCTATCAGCAGCAATCTGTTGTTCCACTTTTGCCACTTTCTCAATTTCCATTAAATAATCCCTATCAACCAGCATCCCTTCGGTTTCCATCTTCACCAAAAGCTCCCCAAAAGGACGCCAATATTGTTCATAAAAATCAAACAATGTCCCCTTTGTAACCCCATTAAACTTCCACTCTCTATTCGATAGTTTACTTTTCAATCTCTCATAAAGCTTGAGAGTACTTATCGAATCCAAAGCAGAGTAACAAACCCACGGTTCCCGTTCTACTCTTTGAAGCTCTTCAACAGGAGGAATAATGACAACTTTACCCTCCTTACCATCTTTCTTCAGCTTTTTCCTCCCAAAAATGGTTTTCATTGATACTTTCCCGATTAACTCTTCGTTAGGACCTAAATTAGCTCCTGACATGATTCCCTTTGAATCACTAGTAAGTGCTTCTAGAGAATACCCACCTGACATTCTTCTAGAAGAATCCCATAATCGTGCCATATGCATTGTGTCCGCATGAAAACCACCAAGGGTAAGACCGTAATTCTCTATTACATGGTTATCAAAGCTATAGTTGTGCCAAACCTACACAACAACATAACATAACACCTAAGTTATAAATTGAAATTTTGAAACATGGAAACAAATAAATAAAAGTACAAAAAGCTATACCAACCTTTTTAATAAATGGGTCTTCAAAAAAAGGTGAGAATATATCCAACATACTTTTACCACCACCATCAAGAACATCAACCCAGATACAAGATTTTCCATTTCCAAAATCAGCTTCATGCCCTGAATAAATGCTGAAGCATATAACCTCTCCATGATCAACAGGTGTCTCCTGCTTCACATCAATTGCAGCCACCTGAAAATTACAACCACAAGTGTGTTATGAGCTTACATATGAGTGTTTCTTTTTGACTTTTAATACAGAAAGAAACAAGATTTTTTATACATGCCTCTGTGTCACATGCATGGACTAGATGACGATACTGAGTTGTAAGCTTTTCAACCACTTGTTTGGCTATGGAGATGTTATCAACTACAAGAACCTTGTCATAAATGCTCGTAAGCTTCTTCTGTAAGTGAGAATACTCCTTAAAATCTAATGGAACAATATATGTTTCATTCAAATCCTCCAACTTAGGTTTCTCCAATTTCAATTCCTTTTTCTGGACACCATTAACAGGCGTATCTTCTGAAAACTTTTGCTTCAACTCTGGACGTTTTTGCCCTTGAGGTGGTGACAAGGTTTGCTCCAACTTAGGTTTCTCCAGTTTCAAGTCCTTTTTTGGAACAACATTAACATGCGTATCTTCTAAAAACTTTTGCTTCAACTCTGGAAGCTTTTGCCCTTGAGGTGGTGACAAGGTTTGAGACTTTCTTAAAGTTTTTTGTATATCGTCATGTTTACAGGGCTCAGTTATGACAGATCCTGCATACTGAGCACTGGGTACATTAGGAACAGCAAGGGTGACTTTATTAGAAAAATATGTGTTTTCTTTAGTGGCTTTTAATACTTCTCTTGCTTGACTCCATGTTTGTGGTTTCTCATCTTTCTTTCTGAATAGGTTTTGTAGATGAGTGTCCAAGACAGGTGTGATGCAAGTGTTTTCCTGGATTCCATCTTTACTGCCACGTGGCACCATTCGAGCATATGAATTACCACTTTTTGATTCTACAAGAAGCCTGAAATCAGCATATGATTGATTATTTCTTGTGTAGGCATATCTTCGGCTTTCATCAAAGGACATGGTGCTAACATTTGACCATGAGTTGAATCCAAAGGGAGTAAGAGCCATGGAAGTACTGCAAAAACGATCTTTTGTGGTATGGAGATTTTGAACCTGCCACCTGCAAAATTAGAATGAGATCATGAAATGTTATAGTAATTTCATCTTCATGAAGAACAAATACTGAAATATGTAACTTGTTTTGAATTTTCTAAAGTAATCGAAGGAATATGTATGGATATAGATGCAAAATAAAAAACAGGTATACTGATGATGTTTAGGTTAAACTCAACTAAAACCACACTTAGAAGAATCCAACAATTACCATCCTGAAGAGGTACAAGAGTCCAACCTACTGCATTATTAACCAACATATTATATGGCTATGATTATTATTCTTCAAGCGTAATTACTTCTAAACTGTCAAACTACAAACATATTCCTGGCTTTAATCATCTAATCTTACTATCTTATTCTGATTTGTCAACTCAGAAGTCAAATCATTGCCTAACATCCAAAAACCCCGTTATAACTACATTAAAAAAAAAAAAAAAAAAAAAAAGCCAACAAGAAAAATTGAACCTATGAGATAAAGCCATAACAGACATAACATTAAAAACCAAATGAACGCTGCAAAGCTTGGAAGAAGATGATAAGGAACGCGAACCTGTAAAGGGACTTGTTAGAATCAGAACTCCGCATAGACCGACAAGAAGAAGATGTCACTATGGAAGTAGTGGAACGAGGGCATGGATGACAAAACCATAAATAAGACGGGGGTTTCTTGAAAGTGTTGGTTGGTGTAGCGAACGCCATTGCCATTCTTGTTTCTGAAAAACTAAACCCAGTGAGCCGCAGCTTCTTGCTAAGTATAATAGCAGCCGTCTTGATTCAGGGGGCGTTCTGTTTTTTCGCCAAATTTATCCAGGTAGTAATTATAAAATCCGAAACCTACCCAACCAAATACCAAAGTAGAAAACCGACGCCGTTGCCTCCCCGTTTTATCCTCGTCGCCGTCGCTTTATCGCCGACCTCTTACGTGCACAGACACAGTTATAGACGTATCTTCGCCGTCCCCAGTCGTCTCCTTCTCCCTAGCCATCACCGTCGCCGATTTCAACCGTCAACTTCATTCGAGTTTATCTGTAACGAACTCTTTGCTAGTTTAGAGAGAGAGAGAGAGAGAGAGAGAGAGAGAGAGAGAGAGAGAGAGAGACCTTCGGCTAAGGTTTTTCTGTCCCAGAGAGTTTTCTTTGTAGATAGAGATGAACTGGCTAGGGTTTTGTGGGACGAGGGTTTTGTTTTTATTTCATTTACGTTTTCTTTTTCATTTTCGCCTTTAAAATATTTCTCATCTCATGTACAAATTAACCATTAGCCTAATGAAAAAAAAATGACAAAACTACTCAAATATTTTAAAAAGATAAAATTGTAAATTTGGTGCAAAATGTTATGTAGTTGCATCATTAGTCTAAAATAACTTTTTTCTATTCTTTTTTGTTCATTTCATAATTAAATGTATTTGAAATGACATTTTTGTTATTTATATTTGTTTTTTCATTTTCTTTTTATTTACTTTACTAAAACAAAATATAAACCCCACATACCCACATCCCTCTCTCTCTCTCTTTCTATAT